TGACACAAATATCAGCCCATATGCGCCTTGTCACCAGGACGAAAGTATCAGAGGATTGTTGGCCAGCTGATTTACAGCGGCTCAGACCAGGACTATTATGACTATTCTGGGGATGAAGACACAGCGGGTTCAGGCAGCGACAGGAGAGGCAGCAAATGGAGGAAGAGGAACGAGCAATGTCAATCTGTCGGTTTGGTTGGTCAGTTGGTTCAGTCCAGACTGAAGTAACTCAAAAACTATTAAATGTGGTACAGACACTTCCAGTCCCCAAAGTATGAACTTTGATTCCCTGTACTTATCTCTAGCGCCATCATTAGGTCAAATTATCAAGGTCTTTGATTTATGACTAAAAACTAATGCCATTTCTAATCCCATCAGCTTTAGCTGCTAAACTGAGATGGTAAATGTGATGAACATTATACCTGCCAAACATCAACAGACTGCAATTTACATTGTGAGCATGTTAGCATGCTGATGTTAGCATTTAGCTCAAAGCACAAGTAGCCTCCAGAGCCACTAGCATGATTGTATAATCTTCTCGTCTCTTTTATGATAAATTCATAGAGGAATGTTTAGGTAGTTTTTCATTCACATCCATTTTAAAGTGTCTTAAATAATATTTAATAATGCTAAGAAATGCTGGCAGCCTCTGCAGACTAGATGTTTGTGTAGACCTTTGCGGATATTTGAATCTTCTTTGACATAAAAAGAAAAGGCTTAGCATGCAGCTTTTTTGTTTGAAGATTCAAAATGTTTATTGTCACTGCAGCAATGTGCAGCCCACCATTAAAAAAAAAAGGGCCAATTCAAGTGAAAGCTCAAGTGAAATTTAGCTAGGAGTGACCGCTTTGACTTGTGGATTGCAGCATTTTAGCATCAGATGTTTGCATGTAGAGTATGTAGAACAAGCTTTGACCTAATCTACCGTTTTTCCATAAATGATACGTAGATACGATGACAATTTCAGGATAGTTTGTGCTGTTGTAAGGTGAAAAGATCTGCTCAGTATGCAGTCTAATATTGAATTCCATCTCTTCTTTTTGACAGACCTATACATTATCCATAATCCTGTGTAATTTAATAATGAAAAGTCCATGATTGCAAAGGGTACCAAAGAACTCACTATGTAATTGTTTTCACCTCCATGGCAATGTGTGTATGAAGACAGTGGAAAGTAGATTTACCGTGGCTGGTAGCCCATCAGCAAACCCTGTCAGCATGAGGTGCTCGGCTCAAGAGACTTGATAGCTTTAGTGATTAGGAAAGACTGCTTGCCCTCTGCCAGTGGAATACAAATATACACTATAACCATTTCCACCAACATATATGGCCACATTATTGACCCAACGGCTTTATGAAGACACCCTATGAACCTGACAATGTTGAAACTGCCTGGACCTTCACCTCCACCTTATAGCAAACAAGAGCCTTGTTACAGGTCACAAGCAAGAGCTCATAAAGGTTTGTGAAAGCCTCTCATTCATCGAGCAGAAAGAGGCTCACAGGGACACAAATGGCCTACTTGAACTCTGCGGAATGATTGATGTCTTGCTTCATGTTGAGGATATAATATACCACCAATGAATTTCATAATGAAACGTTCCTCCTTCCTCCTATCCTGTTCCTGTGGCTCTCTGTGAAAACCTTGGCAGTACTGGAGCATTGTTTTCTCCCCGAGTCAAAAGAACAAAGACAGAAATTCACGAAGAGAGGCAGAAGACCACAGCTGAGCTTGTTATTTAAAAAAGAAAAAAAAATGCAACTGCTTAAAAAAAAAAAACCTGAATCTTTATCATCTGTGGCTGTGGCAGGCATATAAAGTACTTACTGACTGTCGACTAAACATGGCAATGGTGCAGACCACACATACGCATTAAAGTCACTTCATTTTTTTATTGATTCATTTGCTCTAATTTTAACTAGATGATCACATTGTAGCTAGTGGCTTTTGAAAGTAACCTGACTGCGCCAGATGGTTTGTTACACAATCTGGGTTGTAATTGGAAAGTGTTTGGAAAAGAACAGGCACTTGGCACCTATCACTGTCTATTACAAGTGAACTGAAACCAATCAGATCAACAAACCATATAACGTAGTCAAATTCTTACTAAAGCTAGTCGGGAGAAGAGTGAAAACATCTTTTAAATCGAGAAAAGCCATCAGTTCCATTCTTTGCTTTTCTTTCAATGAAGAAATACTGTTTAGCCGTATTACTGTATGTAAACGTTTCTGGGCCAGCCATCATGTTAAAAACGATAGATCCAAAACCAAGCACCACCCAACCAGCTGGAGTGCTCAGTGGTCTGGTGATTTCAGATGCATCTTTGGATTCTATGTCTGCAGTCACCTAACGTAACTTGGTTCCTCTGCAAGTCATTTAGCAACCCACATTTACAAACCCAGGCTGCAGCATACAAGCAGTCTTTTCGGGTTTGATTGCTCATTTAATCTCTCAATAGAGGCTTAATAATATAAAGTAACATCATAATACTGCATATAGGAACCAATGGTGCACCAAGCATGGATAAAATTTTACTGAAGCCTATTACAGGCAGATTAAAGGCTTATACTATGCTTTTCATGTGTTTACTGGAGAGACATGACTTACTCCTTTATAGAAATCCATTACATGTCAGCTTTTTTATTGATTGTCACTGGAGAGATTAGTCTATCCCTATGCCCAGATAATTGCATGACTGAATTGTCTCACACCTAACACCAGAAAAGGCCACATTTTAGATGTACATGAGGAGGAATAAATGGCTTGAGAGAAAATTGTACTGTGGCTTTATTTTTCTACGTTAAAGAGGAAATAAATTGCGTTTTCAGTGTCTCCTATCAAAATTATTTAATCATGTAGTAGGAGTTGTTAAAAGTTGGGTATTAAAAGGAAATTTTGGCTTTTAAGAAGTTTATTATTTTCTTTATTAATTAAGACTCAGATAATGTATCTGCATACATGCATGTTGAACTGTGAGCTTCCTGGAGACCAAATAAAATACTGAGATTGGACTGGCACATTGATTTGGAAAAGTGATCCTCAGTTTTACTGCTTCTGACAAGCTGATGCTCGAGGCTGCTCACTGATGTCTCTTGTCAAGGGTTACCAAAATACAACACCACTGATGTTTCTGAGCTGATGTCACGGCCCGGCTCAGCTGAAGAACTTAAGGATTACAGCAGTTTCACTGAATACCAGACTGCATTGTTAAATGGTCTGATTTTAAACATGGTTCTGCATTAAGCACAACTGAGCAGCTATTAACTTTTGTTGGTCCATCTTGAGTAAACAATCTTGTGTCTGCAGGTCAAGGAAGAAGTCTTTAATACAGAATAATTGTACTTTTTCACTCAAAAAATGAATGAGTGAGTTAACTAATGAGACAATTCAGATTCTTTTACATTATATAAAATCTTCCTTTCTCTTTACTATAGTGCCTGTTGGTAATTGCCTTGCCTCGCCCATTCGAAACCCATCATTTATCATTTTCTGCAGCAAAGCAAACTGAAAACCAGTTTTTCATGTTCATTAAGTTTAATTGCAGGTCCCCCATCTGAAACAATATCTTGCCTCTGTTGGGTTTCTCTGCCGTTTCCATTTTCACAGCAGTTAGTCATGGTACCAGTGTCACTTATATTTTCCTCAGCAAGGAATTTTCTCACTCTAGACCTGAAATACTGTAGTGTTAAACTTTCAGAACCACAGGACAGCATATACTTACTGGCCTCTTTATTTCTGTGAGAGCAGCGTGTCGTCGGCTCATAACAGATTGCTGGGGAACAATTCAAACACTTACCACCACGATGATTTGTGAAAGCAAATGAAAATGTTTTTGGGGGAGACATTTCACCTGCAGGAACCTTCCCAGGGGACCAAGAACCTTTTGACAAATTAGGCACTGAATTTAGTTCCTCTTCTTGACAGGGTTAAACATATTCTTCTGAGTTGAGTGTTAAACAAATGTTTGATATTACATTTGCATGAGGAGTTGATTTCACTCCCTGCTCCAGATAACAAATATGACAGATGTTCACAGTGTTTGTTTTTTTTGGACATATGACTTTAAAGTGTAACATTTTAACCATAAAAACCATTTGAATATGGTGAATTTAATTTACTAAATTAGAACATTCATGCATTTGATTTGCTAATCCTGTTACAGACATTCCCTCCCGGCCACTGGTCCAGTCCTTTACGTCCAGTGCCAATGCAGGAAATAGTGTGCCCACTATGTACTGTAGCTAAACTGAAAGTAAGGTTTGGGTGGAGGGTTGGCACGCACCGTGTCTAACTTTCTTGCGGAAGTCTAGAGTTTCACCCCATAATAAACCTGTAAGGATTTAGTGGCATATAGTTGTGGAAGTGCAGATTGTAACTAAATGAACACCGCTTGTGTCTGTATTTGATGACCTGGGAATGAGAACAGGTGGCCGCAAACCTCATCAAAAACGCCAAAACCAATTCATATATTCAGGTAATTATACACGAATGAAAACATACCAATGAATATTAAATTCAATTTCTGCCAGTAGATTCTCCTAAATGTTACACACTGGACCTTTAATACAGTCATCCTTACAGCAATGATTTGGTTTAACAGTGAAACACAGCAGA